AGAAACATCCCTCAGCCATGAGCAGAAGAGACAGATGGGGAGATTTGAAAAAGGAAGTAATGCTGCTGTCACTGGAGTCTGTTGAAACATCATGGCACCTAGGCGGGCACGTCCCTTTTTGGAACTGTGATGTAGGGTAAGAAAGCTTCCCCAATGCACAGAAATACTCCTCTGCCTGGCATCTCCATTCAGCCAGAGCCCCACGTTTCTCAACACCAGGAACTCCCCTCTCTTGCACTGTAAGAGGCACAGCGGAAACACTGGAGTCCAGGCAGGACTCAGCATCTATGTCACACCAGGAGGCAGGGATACTCGGGCTGTCAAGTGTGGCAGCTGGCCACGGCCTTCCTGACAACACTGGAGTCCTTGGGGCCCAGGCGAGAAGAGATGCCTTTCACCCACACTGGGGGCAGACCCTGGAGCTGCCCGTCACAGAGCAACCCCAGCCACACGAGATGCTGACCAAGGAAAAGGGAGAGTGTGCTGGCCAGAAGTAACCATGGGAGTGAGCGTGTCCAGGCAGACAGCCAACCCCTTATGGCCACATCAGACAGAAGGACAAAGGACTTACAAACCTAACTTTGTCCTAAGTGCTGAGCCTCTCATCAACAAAAGTATTTGAACGTGAATGCTAGGGAGAGGAGATTTCTAGGTTTTTTTTTTTTACACTTTCCACCTGACCAATTAAGAAAAGAAGAAAAGTGGAAAGAGAGTAAACCCCCACCAGGTATCCAGAGCATTCCACAGAGCAGACAGGAGTCCGACACTCAGGGCTCTGGTCCCATGTGGACAGACTATGTGGACAGCTGCTGGAGACTGGGTGCCTGGGGGTTTAAAGGAAGAGAAAGGGAGAGAAGTTCAGCCAGGAGCAGAGTAAACATCTATTATAATAGACACAGGGTTAAAATAGGTAATATTGACTGATCACCAGGGGCCACGTACTGTTTACTACTCCACTCCTTTGGAGTGTTAATCCTCTTTAAACCAACTTTTTGAGGTGTCATTGGTATTTCCAATTAATAGATGCAGAAAAGTGAGGTAATTAGATACATGACTTGCCCAAAGTCCCAGAGAAAGCCTGGAGGTAGGGATTGCAAACCTGGGAAATAATAAGCACTGCCTGGCTCAAAATCCTCTGGTGGTCTCTCATCAGACTTAAAATTCAGATATTTCACCATAGCATGTAAAATCCTACATGAGCTGGTTCCTACCCCCTCTCTGACCTTAAGGCTTAGGACCTCCCCCGCCCCCCCTGCATTGTTCATATACTTCCTAATACTAGCATTCTGAGTTTTTCAAACAGGGCAAACTCATTACTGCCTCAGGGCCTTTGAACATGCTGTTCTGTCTGCCTGAAACACTTTCCACAGATCTCTGCAGGGCTCTGCAAAGAGGTCATCTCCACCGAGCAACCCTCCTTGCCCACTCACCTAAAATATACTGCTGTATCCCATTCCTCATGAACTTACTCTCTTGTGTCTTTCCTTGCCAACTGATCACTGGCTGAGCAAACTGTCTTCATACTAGAGTGCAACACTCCAGCGGGCTGGCCCTGCAGCACGGACACGGCTCGGTTCATACCAGTTGAATGAATGAGTATAGGCATGAATGGGTGGGATGGAGGGGGCCAACAGAGGGGCATCACAACCTCTTTATTGAGCTTAGGGTGAGATACTGGTTCTTCACCTTTTGGAAGTTAGGCACCTCTCTGAGTCGTAGTCGAAAGCCATGGACCTTTGGTCTAAAAAAAAAAATAGCCAACATTTGCAAAAAAAGTTTCAAGAGTCCCTCTTAGGTCCCAAGGAAGAACATCTGCACTAATGGGAGGGAGACAAAACAGACTTGGATCTAACTGAGCATCAGCTGAAGTGCCTTCTGCTCCTGTACTGGCTGCCTCCGAGATAGCTCAGGCCCCCTAGGGATGCTTCTGAAGAAAAGAACAGCATCCAAGCACAGGGCAGTGCACTGGGTAGAAATACTAGGCTTTGCATCCCTGGGCCAGCAATCTGGTTACTGGTCCAGACCTACAACAGGTGTCCTCATCCCTGGACCTTTACTCACTGAGGGAGATATGATAACTATCGTTACTATTCCTTCCCTCCCAACACTTACTAACCACACCATCCTTCAAGAGCTGACTTGCTTTGAAAGGATGCCATGCAGCTCTGCGCCCAGCCCAGAAGGGGCCTAGCAGCTTCCAGTCACCATGCAGTAAGTGGGACTACCCCAAGACTGGCAAACTGTGAAGACCAAGTTAGTCACATGGATGAGAGAGAGAATGGCCCCATGGAGGAAACCTGATGGTGATGGGCATGGGACTGAGTTCTTCCTGGCCCTGCAGCCCGGCCAGGCCCAACTGCCAGCTGATACAGCTGGGGGACTGCCTCAGGCTGATGCCAAATGGAGTAGAAGAACCACCAAGCCAAGCTTAGCCAAACCCTGACAAGTTCCTGATGCATAGAATAATGGAAAATAATACAACTTTGTTCTAAGCCACCAAGATTTGGAGTAGGTTGTTACACAGCAATAAATAACTGACACATTCATAGCAACTCCTCCCCAGGTACGCCTTCCCCTCCTGCTTTTCTGGGTCCTAACTGTCCCTTAATTATTTGTTCCAGTAACACCTCTTCCAGAAGGTTCTCTTATCACTCCACCTCACTCTTCACCCCTCCAGCCTCTAAACTCTCAACCTACTCAACCTTGAAGGCCTGCCTCAGAGGCGCTCTCCTCTAAGGAGCCCTCTCTGACTCCCACACAGTGGCCGCAGGTGCTTCTCCACACACCCAGTGTGCCTATGCACACCCCACTCTTGTGACCATGCCTTTGTCAGCTTGTTGACTCCCAGACTGTTATTGCCGCATGCACTGTCATCCACAGAATCCACACACATAGCTCATTAACTACCACATAATAGAGGCTCTTATGAACTAAAAGAATAAACCCCTACACGACCTTTACATATTCTCACATTCATCCTCCTGCAGACCTGTGTGTCTTTACCACTCTGACTGAAAATGCCTTGAGGGTAAGGATCATGCTTACTCATTATCTCCACGTCTCTCACAGAGCTTTGCACACGGCAGGTGCTCAGTCAATGTTCTGTTGACTTTTAACCGGTTGACGTGTGACTTTCACTGTGACCTTAGCTCCAGATTTGCCCCTGGACCTCTGCTACTCAGACTCCAGACCTCCTAGACCTGGATGCTATACAAGGAGAGAGAAGGCTCTGCTTGTTTATTTTTGGTTCCTTGCAAACAATGGAATTCTTAAAAGTCCACACATTCTACATTCACAGCAATGAATTCATTCCAGAAGAATAATCTTTTAGAAGCTACATTCTCTTTAAAGACATTCACCTCCAAATCCTCCTTCAACAGACAAGTGTGAAAGAGTTAACACAGCTTCCCACACTGCCTGGGAGTTGCAAATCAACTGGAAATATCTGGTTCAATCTGTTATGATAAAGCCCAGTCCAGACAGCACTGTCACCCCAAGGACAATCATTCTGTGAACACACACAGGGCTGTGACCTTTACTCAACATTCCAGAGATACAGGAGCTGTGTGGGCCTGGGAGGAGGGGAGGAATATAAATAGTATATGTAGTGGGCCCAGCACTGGGGTGGAGGCCAGCTCCCTGGTCCTGGCTACCCTGGTACCTCCTTATCTACAAACCTCTTATCTCTGGGAACATCTGAAGCATTTTCCCACCCGGCTACCCCAGACCCTCCAGCTTCTTGGGGACCTGCATATGACTTGCCACCCGCTCATCTGTCACTCATGCTCCAGCCCTCATCTCCTTGGATTTTATGTCTCAGCTTGGACATAAAATCCTAGAGGCTCACTCCAGGCCACAAAATCTCAGTGTGGGAAGGCCTCTGTCACCTGGACTTGAGCAAGGTGGAAAAGGTGATAAAGGAAGAGAGGAGAAAACAGAGAGAGGGCAGATGGGGAAGTGGGGTCCTTCTGGGCATACGGTTGGCCCCCAACAAGCCCTTCATGCACCCTCCCCCCACGAGGTTGTTGCGGGGCTCTACAACACGTTCCCTGAGGGAACTGGCCCAGAGCTGGTATACAGGGAGTGCTCAATAAATGTAAACTCACTTTCCCTCCCTGCCTCTGATTAGAAAAGGCTGCCTCATTATTGAGACTACCTAAATGAAAGAATCCAGGCACAAAAGAAGCTCTGTCCTTCAGGGGTGATGGGCTGAGTCCTCAAGTAACAAATAAATGAACTTTGTTGCATGTATTACTTCATATTATTAAGGAACCATTCATTCATCCAACAAACATTTGCAGAGAATCTAACGTGCAGCAAGCATTGCCGTAAGCATAGTTAGTGCTTATTCTACGCATTATACGGCCTTACACAGTCACTGCCTCTAAAATGCTTTTTGTGCGTGGTCTTGTCTCTGCCTTTGGAAAGGAGCAGGACAGTACTCTACCTGCCATCAGATAAGCCTTAGATTCCAGGGAATAGGGGGTAGCCCAAAGATGAAGAGGACAAAGGTTACCATGATATCTGCAAACAAAAAGTGATGCTTGTAGAGAAGTGAACTGATAAGCATGCAGGAGACTCCCTAAATAATTAATGGGACAAGATCCAGGCTCCAAGCTGTTACGTCAAAAACCTGACCCTAAATCTAAGCTCACCAACATGAAAATATATAGAGATCAACATTCAGCCATCTTCCCTGTGGCGAAGGAGTATTCCTCGTCATTTTCAATTTGTTGTCGACTGATACTTCTGCAAAATGCATAGGTGGTGTGCTTGAATGTGACACTGATGTCCAATCGTTTTAAATAAAAGTGTCTAAATACCCTCAATGTTGGTATTTATCTCATTGCCATTCAGCACCAGTGATTCACAAACTGGCATAGATCTATGAACCACACTTTGGGTAGCACTGATAAGGTTAATTCCACAGGCCATCCAAAATCTAGCACAATACATGATGCAAACAAATACAAGAAATGGAATTGTAAAGGTCAACTTACTTGCTGATGGCTGAAATTTGATCAGATCTTGCAAGTCAGTAGAAATCTGGAAAACATGGCTATAGAATTGCTGGACTGAATTCTTTAAGCCAGATATGTCTCTGGAATGTGACCAGAGTGTCCCATTCATCTGCCTGACACAACTCCAGAGGCTGTTGACATGCTTGTTGAGTCCCTCCTTGATCCTCTGAAGACTTCCTGAGATGGAGTCCAGTTTGCTGCAGGTTTTCTCCATTTGAGACACCCTGCTCTCAACCACAGAGATGTCCCTCTGGACCCCGTGAGTATTTTCCTTACAAGTGTCCAGCTCAGAAAGGACTTGGCTCTGCAGCTGCTGCCACCTCTCCTCTAGCTGGCTGCAGCAATGAGCCATGGGGTCCCGGGGAGATGGGAGAGGTTCCACCGTCCTTTCTTGCTCACCCCCCTTAGAAAACCCACCCACTGCAACATTTTTACCTTCTCTGCAATTGCTCAGTTCATTCTGGAGATTATTCACATGGTCTTCTGTGTGGTTTAGTTGAGAATAAAGAAAACTAAAATCCTGTTGAAGTTTCTGGATGCTACGTTCAGTTTCTTGAAACTTCCTATGCATTGTATCATTTAAAGATTTCAAAAGGTTCAAACTATCATCCATTATGTGGTCTTCTCCACTTGGCAAAGTATCTTCTATACCATGAGGCTCTCTCTGAAAGTTCTGCAGGCAAATATCTTCAACAACTTGAACTTTGTTCTTTAGGTTATCTAACTCTACCATGACCTGTTTGTTCCTAGCCCCTGACACACCCGGTAAGCCTGAGGCTGGGGCAGTGGGTCCTGCATCGGTGCTGTTGGCCACATCTAGGAGAACACTACCCAGGCGTTCTTCCAAAGACAGTATTTTCTGATCAAGAAGTTGCTTCAAGTCATCTACCTCGCCATTAATGGTCCCCCGAAGGGTTTCTTCAATGTAAAAGCAATGTTCTTCCGCGTTCTTCTCTGTCACATTGATCCTTGCATCTAGTTCATTCCATCTTGCATCAAAGTCCACATCTGGCTCTGGAACTACAAGGCGGTCAAATTCATTATCCAGTCGTGCATTCAGCATTCTGGTGGCTTCAGCAACTCTTTCGATTTTCTGATCTAACATCCTGATCTGTTGCCCAAAGTCACCATTCTTTTCACCACCACAGCAATTAGACTGAGCTGAAGGAGCTTGTATCTGGGCTCGAAGATCATTTATTTCTTTTCTCAGGTTTGTTTCCTTCTCCCCTATAAGCTCAATCACTCCTAGGTAGCTGCTCCCATAGTCATCACATTGCTGTTGGAGACCGATCAGCTTGTACTCACATGTGTTCTTCAGATCGGCCAGTTTTCTGTCCATTCCCTCTATGAGCTGCTCTCTCAGGGCATCAATTTTACTATCGACGTAGGCTTGGTAGAGTTCATTGGTAGTCATGGTCACCGTAGGGCCCTGGGCAGCTTCCTGGAGCTGTTTGATCTGTCCTTCATACCCCTTTACTTTCCCATCCAACTCTTCCAGCTTGTCACTCTTGGTCTTCAGAGCATCCTTGACCTCAGCCAATTCAGACTTGATGTCCTTCATGCCAGATTCCTTATTGTTGAGGACATCAGGAAGCTGGACAGTTTCTGTGTCTCCACCAACAGCACTGTCAGGCACTGGCTGGGGGTGCAGGTTACTGAGCCATGATGCCAACATTTTGCTGGCATCGTCCTGAATGGCATGTTTGAGGTTTTCATTCACTCCAGCAATGGAAGACTGGAGATCAAGAACTGTTCTTGTGAGTCGGAGAACCTTCTCTTCAAGCACCTGGATTTTCTTTTCCTGAAGTTCTTGTGGCCCCTGTTTTGGATCTACCATTTGACCTGGTCCTGCTGCTGCAGGAGTTGGTGACAAAGTCTTCTTGGGCTCTGAGACTTGGCTTGGTTCATTATCTGTTACAAAGAAAGAATTAGATATGACTTAACGTGTTCTACCTTTTCCCATTTTCTGCAAAGAAAGTAAACAAGGATACACTTAAACCTTCACTTATAGATCCCCTCTCACCACAGGCAATTATTGTAGTAGAGAGAAAAAGACTATGGGCTTCGAGTCATATAGACCTCCCCTAGCATTCTGGCTATGCTGTTTACTATCTGCCCTTGCGCGAGTTAATTAACTTCTATGAACTATAATCCCCTCACCTATGAAGCAGAGGTACTATCTTCCCTCCTACGGTTGTTAAGATGTACATGACACATAATAGACAGTCAGCGGTTTCTTTTACCCTAAAGGGAAATATTCTTAATCTACTTTGTCATATGAACACATAATTCCCACATTAGTGAGCAGCAGCCACACCCCAATTGTTGACTACACACTGTAAAACCACAAGAAGCCACTTTAGCAAGATCCACCCATTAGCTTTTGGGTGGTATGATATCATATAAGCAGTAAGTTATCCTCCAAGCAACTTCCTAAATGTTCTTCTACTTTTAGTAGCAGTGCTATGCTAAAAAAGTCTCATAGACATTGTTTAGCACTGTTGGGGAAACTAAAAGCAAAAGAAAGATAAAGCAGTGATTCTATTGGCCTCTCCTAGCAATAAAACCACATGGTCATATATACTAGAACTCAATAAATCAAAGAATATAAATATTCAATTTTTTATAATCCTACTCTGAGAAATATGCCTCCAAGGAAATAGACCAAAAGGAAAAAAAGTTATAAGGATGATTGTGATGAGTCATAAAATGAAAATAAAGTGATAGGGTTAACATTAACAAGCTGGCACAGACCATATGGAGATTATTGTGATGGGTGGAAAAAGTCAAACACAACACAGATTACAATGAAATAAAATGCATTAAGGTACATTGAACAAGCAAGGGAAGTATGTGTAGAACATTATAGATATTTGAGTTTAATGTTCATCATTTTTTCCTCCCCTAAACTTTTGTACATAATCATAACAACAGCTATTATTCATTAAAATCAACTTAGTGGTAAAACCAAGACTGGAATTCAGATGATGGCCAAACTCCCAAGCAGAGAGCTATAAAGAATACCTTATTTTCCACACTGAAAAATTTATTCTAACTCAAGACACTAGGAGACAAAAACAAGTTGTTGAATCATACACAAATGAAATACCATTCTGAGTGAAGGAAATAAAGCAAAAGGCAGGAGAATGAGGGGGAAATCAGCATGTAAGGAGATGCTGCTTTTACATATTCCTGGTGACCGTGGAAATTGCTACAACTTTTTGGAAGGATAATTTGGCAAGATGTATCAAAATCTCAGAATCCCTTTGCCCCTGCAATTATACTTCTAGAAGTTTATCCTAGTAAGTAATTAGGGATGAATCTAAAATATTAACAGGAAAAAATGCTTATTCAAATATTACCTAGAATAGTGAAAAACTGCAGACAACTTAAGTGACCAATAGTAGAGGACTGTGTTCTAATAATCACACTCTCAAAAGCCATTAAATGATACTGTAAATTATTTAATGAATGGTTATTCGTTATAGATTAAGTTAAAAAATAAGTTCTAAAAATAGTGTGTTCTTGGGGGAGGGACCTGGGTGGATCAGTCAGTTAAGCCTCTGACTTCCTTCCATTCTGGTCATGATCTCAGGGTCCTGGGATCCAGCCCCAAGAATCAAGAATTGGGCTCTGTGATCAACGGGGAGCCTGCTTCTCCAATCTCCCACATCCCTTCTCCCCCTCCCCGTTCCTCCCTCTGCTTGTGCTTACTCTCACGCACATACACTCTCTCTCAAATAAATAAAATCTTTAAAAAAAAATAGTATGTTCTTTATAATGATAGTGGATTGGAGATAAGTGTTTCCATTTCATTCCCTTCTGAAATCCCACTAAAATAGCATAACAAAACAAAACAAAGAATAACCATGTGACATATAAAAATTAGTAATCAGAATGGTTTTGGACATTTTAACAGCTGCATTGGAAGCTAGAAGAAAATTAAGTGATGCTTACAAAATTCTAAACGAAAATTCTTTCCAATCTAGAATTCTAAAGCTAGAATAAAAATATTTTGAGACCATAAGATATTAGAAAGTATACCTCCCATACAATTTTCTAATAAAACCATTGGAGAATGTGCTTTACCGAAACAAGGGAGTAAATAGAGAATAAGCAGGGAGTACAGGAAGCAGGGAATCAATGACAGAGAGATAAGTAAGATCACAGGTTGGCAGCTGTGAACAGGGAAAGGATGACCAAGTGGGGCAGGTAAGAAATTTCTAGGAGAGATTGCTTCAAGAATATGACACTGACATATCTGGACATAATGAGAAGACATAAAGATAATCACCCAGACATAATGAGAGGACATATAATCACATATAATCTTGTCCCTATTTCACCCAGGGTTGAAATAGGGACAAGACATAAAAAATCAAACAAAGGAAATTATGAGATAATTACTAACTCTAAAGAAACCAAAAAGCTGTAAAGGGAAGGCAACAGATTCATAGTATACTACATGGTTTAGCTGTAAACATTATCTATGCAGTTACTACAGTGTAAACAATAAGTATTAAATAAGTTTAAAAACCTGCCATAAACTGTATGGAAAGGATGAGGGTACAGGAGCCATGTGCTGGAAAGCAAATCTTCACCTTCCATAGTAAGAGGTCAATAGATATGGAGGTAAATTCCAAAAGACAGTCCAAAGAGTTTAAAGTAATGACCTCTGGGAAGGGAAAGTCATTCGCTTAATGTTATGCTTAAAAGTAAAGGTGAAAATTATCACTGCTTTCTTATTCACTGAGTTCATGTTACTTCAAAAAAAAAAAAAAGAATTCAGAAACAAATTTAAGAACAACTTCACTAGATGCCTCTAACTTGGAGCTTAGCTTTGCAAACATCTCACCCCAAACAGAGTGAGAATGATTCTGATTTACCTATTTTTAAAAAAGACAATTTAGTTCCTTCAAATTCAGATGCATGGGAGCTTGTAGATGAAAAGTAAAAATAGACAAAGCATCACATCTGAGTCTCTTGTCATCTGTGCCACACACAACACCAGTCTGAAGCTGTCCCCTACACTGATTGCTATGTCCTTGGCTTTCATAAGTTGGCCCTAACAGAGCAATTTTCTTACCAAAAAAAAAAAAAAATCTGTACTCTGGTTGCTACTGCTTCTGCAAATAAACTTGTATGCCACATGTTTCTACTCCAGGCACATATGTGTGTTACTTAAGACCTTGGAGAGATCGCCATTGTAAGTATCGCCACCATCACAAGTCTTACTGTCTGGAGGAGCACTGGAGGGATCAGAGGTGGTCATGCACAGCAAAGCTCAGAGAAGTTACCTGTGGCTTTCTTCATGCTATTTCGAGGCCGGGCAGGTGTGGGGCGGGGAGTCTTCACAGGGTCCCTGGGACCTTCCTGGCAGTCTCCCCCTCTAAAGCCAGGGCAGCACCTCCATTCCAACTGTGTCACTGTCTTGTACTTGGTGACATATCTGGGTCTGAAGTTCACACGATACCTGCCGAAGAAAAGCGTGGCATCTTTCTTTACTGGCTGCTGTTGTGAGCTCCCTGGCACCCCGCTGGCTTGTACCTGAATCAACAGGATCCAGGCCCGTCTGTTTCCTCCAAGACCACTGGTCTCTTCAGTCCAGCCCTGACCCCCTGGGGTTAAGCCAAAATCAGACTGGCATCCTTTTTCCATCTCTTAGACCTACCTGCCTCCAGCTCCCCTCCTACTGAAGGCTAGAGAAACTGACAACCTAGAAAAAGCCCAGCCCCATGACTCCCAAACTGAGCTTTTGTTTCACCCAAAAATTTTTGTTCTACTTTTTTGTTGTTGCTGCTTTGTGGAGATTTCTTCTGGGTAACTCGGGAGGGTCATTTGTCTTGTATTTAAAGAAATCTCCCTTTGCTGCTCTAGCATCAATGCATTTATCTTGGCACCTTCTTTCCTGAAAAGGTAGCAGGCCATGAGCCTTCAGAGAGTGTACCTCATGCTACTGGTACTCAGATCTTTTTAAAGAGATGCCCCGATCCATACAGCTGATGACAGAAATAAAGATCCCTTTTAGAGTACACTGGGTGGCTCAGTCAGTTAAGTGTCCGACTCTTGGTTTCAGCTCAGGTCATGATCTCAGGGTCTTCAGATCAAGCCCCAAGTTGGGGGGGGGGGGGGCTTGAGATCAAGCCCAGCATGGAGCCTGTTTAAGATTCTCTCCCTCTTGCCTTTCTCCCTCCTCTCTCTTAAAAACCAAAAAAAAAAGTACACATTGCCCCACACATGTGCATATCACATAGAGATTCTTTTGATGAGCTATAAAGCCCTCCAGACCCAGGGCCTGGAACAATGAGTGGCACTCCGGCAGCATGCTAGACACTCAGAGGGATGGATGCAGGAATCCAACACCCCCCTGGGTACCTCTGCTCACAGCACAGACGCAAGCAGCTCCTAACTTCTACTTGCAGCTTCGAATCATGGCTCTCTAGAACGTCTTCACTTCCTCCTCACTGTGTACACCAGCACTCGCAGCTGCCCTTCTCTTTGGGGGCCAATTCCCAGAAAGAAATTGGCTCTCTGTCACTTCCACAGGGTTGCTGTGTGCTGCCCAGGGGACAGCTGGGGGATGCGTGGGGCCTGGTCCATTTCAGGCACCTACCTGGTGGTGGGGGAGTTCAAAGTCACATTTCTGAGAAAACTGCAAATTACTAAACGTGATGGGTGTTTGCCCCTGAGGGTCAAAGCCATGACATCTAAAACCAACAGGACCCCAGGTGACCCTCTGGAATTCCCAGAGGGCCCTGCAGACAGCACTACCCCAAGCATCAGCATCCCAACACCTGTCGCTGCCCCGCATGACTGGCCCTTCTAGGGCAGTGGTTCGGAACTGGCCATGCATCAGAATCACCAAGGAACTATCAAGAACTGCCAATGCCCAGGTCTCTCCGAGGTTCTGATTTAATTGGTCTGCGGTGGGGTTCAGGTGCACAGATTTTGAGAGGCTCCAGAGGGAGACTTTTTCAAGGAAAATAGAAGAGAAAGCTCAATGAACGAAACAGAAAAGAAGGGCCCATAAGGGGTGGGAGTGGGACAAGACTTCCCTTCTAGGCTCTTTATTCTCTCTTATCACCACCATAATCCCCACCAAGGCCCAACTACTTAGAGTTTCCCCTTTTCACAAATGGGAAAACAGAGGCTCATAGAGGTTAAATGACCTGTCCATGTTCCAATGGTCAGGAAGGGCCAGCGCTGGGATTTACACCCAAGTGTTCTCTCCTATACCCAGATGGCTCTCCCAGCACACAGAACACAGAAGCAGTGACTCTGGTGATTGCCTTAAATTTGAAGCAACCCCACCCACCCAGAGATGTTTTGCAAAGCCCTACAAGCTGGGTCAGAGGGTAGCTGCTGTCCCCTTTCAGCAAACACTTGTCTGAGCATCTGACACGGTCCAGGTACACACCAGCCCCCAGGCCCCCAGCACCCTATCTACCAAAAAAATTCCCTGTATCGTCCTAGAAACTCTTATAAAAAAAAGAAAAGAAAAAAATTCCACTTTTGTTTTGCATGCTCAAGTATAGCATAATGCTGCAAAAATGTGTAATTTCAGAAACACTCGGTTCCTCTGAGCATGTAAGACTGAATGTGAAAATGTGTTTGCTTTTGGGTTTTGCACACGTGCCAGCAGATGACAGCCCACAGCAAAGCCTTTTGGATGGGGCTGAGCAGGGCCAGGGGAGCAAAACCTGACGCTGCAAGTGGGATCCCCTCCCTGCCCGGAGGCCTTGGCCCCAGCTGCTGCGCCGAGTGTAAGAAAGTGCTCGCTCTTCCAACACACCTCATTATTTTCTTTGCAGGCAGTTATTATTTTGGAACCAGCTCATAACTTAAGGCAGGTTCCCTGGAGTTCCTGCCTTCCCCTGCAGCCCCACACACATTCCCCACTCCCACCCTCCGCCTGATGGGCGTCCTGGATTCCGGTTTGCAGCACGGAGTTCAGGTTGACAGCGTCTCTAAGTCCGGCGGGTGGAAGAGGCCTCCCTGGCTCGCAGCGACAGCTGGAAGCCATCAGGGGCCACCTCCAGCCGTGGGAAAGCTCACGTTCCAGCCACGCCGCGCACAATGACCCGGGTCCCAGAGGCGACCGTGGGTCCTCAGGCCTCCATCTGGAGGATATGAGGGGAAGAGGTAGGGTTGTGCAGCCCTCCAGGGATTTTCCCTGAAGAAATGGGGTGTCTGCCTCCACGAGAGCCCTCCAGGAGGCTTTCCAGAGGCTGGGAGGAACATGGCAGGATCCCTGGGGCCTCCTGCGGCTCCTTAGCGCTCTGCAGGACCACATCCCGGCCAAGGAGCTTTCAAAAAAATGCTCAGGCCTGTATGCTCAAAATTCTAATTTAACTGGTTTGGGGCCAAGGGTGCCCAGACATCTGTGCCTTTCAAAAACTCCCCAAGTAATCGTCAAGTGCAGCCAGAGTTGAGAAGTACAGCCCAAAACTCAGGGCAGCCATCAGCCTTCCTTCCTCTTGGGAGCCGGGAGCCTCTGAGGCAACAAAGGGCTGGACAGCCAGGCAGGGGGAGGGAACTGACCCAAAGAGCCCAGTGTTACCCCAAGGACCCCTGAGCTGTAAGTGGACAAGAGGTGCCCCCTGGACACTTACTGAATCAGCTGACTGCACCCCACTGGGGGTGGCCAAGCAGAGGGACCGAGCTAAAGGCACAGAGTCAAGGCGGTGCTGGGCTGGAGCTGGAAGGCTGACTCAGGCTGCAGCTTTGGCCCCCATCCCAGTCTTGGGTAGAGACTATAACCAAATCCTGTTCCTCAAGGGAGTCCTGTCCACAGCTGCCTCAGGCACTCTGGGGGCCCCTGGGGCTACGGCAGCACGCCACCCCACAGTGTGAGCTCACCCCAACCTCTGCCAGTGCTCTTCGTCCCATCCTCTCAACTCTCCTCCCCTTCCTCTCCCTCTGAAACCCTTCTAGGGTACGGGAGGGCGTGAAACAAGGGTTCGCCATGTTTATGGGATCAACCACCATGTCAAGACATCAGATCAGCCCAGAAGATCCTACTGAGAAGGAAGGTGGCAACAAGAGGACTGGAAAAGAAAATCAGAGTTTAGGGACCAGAGGACTGGATATGTCCCCCCTGTTAAAACAAAATGTGATAAAATGACAGCCTTCATTTGACATCACCCCCCTTCCCCCCTCCCCTAGACACATAAAGACTCCTTCCTATGGGCAGGAGATGAGACTTCTTTCATAACATGCTTCCATTCACGCTTGTTCAGTGTTTGTCTTTTCACAGAATATAAGCCCCGTGAGGGCAAGAATTCCTGTTGGTTTTGTTCTCTACAATATCCCCATTTTTAAACCCAGCGCCTGTCCTATTGTAGGTGCTCAATAAACAATGAAGTATTCATCATCAAAAATTGATTAATCAAACAAATTTAATGATACTAAGTCTACTTTTGAGGAGGTTTTGGGGAACCCAATATCCATATTAAAAGCCCCAAAACTGTCCTCAGGTCTAATCCTAATTACTCAGAGGTGTCTATTTAAATCTAAACTAATTAAAAGTAAACAAAACCAAACATTCAGTTCCTCAGTCACACTGGCTACATTTCAGGAGTTCCAGAGCCATATGCAGATAGTATGAACATCTCCACTATCACAGGGAGAGCTACTGCACAGAGCTGGCCTAGAGAGTCATGAGCCTGTCAAGGGAACAGCAACAGGAACACATCTGTTCATCTCTTCAATCCTGTCCCACACCCACCTGTCTTCTTTTTCCTCCCATATCCCTTCCACGTTGTCAGTAGAAGGCTTTTCAGAAATAACCACACATCACTGGCAGAGGATCATTTCTACAAGGTTGGGATCTATAAATAAGGACTTAGAAGGAAGGATCATTTCCTCACATTTAGTATTCATCTCTAACTTCTTTTTTTAATACATGCCACTAAAAGTGCACAAATCTAAAGCCCAGTGCCCCCACTGGAACACTCAGTGTTCCAGATTGATTGAGATTTCTCCCCAAAACAGATTATCTAGTAAATTGGGATTTCTCCCAAAAACAGATTATCTAGTAAATTCCTCTCTTTCTCCAGGCACTGGCTTGTCCCCAAAAATCCCAGAGCTAACTCTTCTTGCTTCATTCCACACGTGGTCCCACACAGTTTCAACAGGAATGGGCTGTAAGGATGGAGAAGGGAGCTAGAAAGAAAAGGTGCCTCCCTCTCCCTAGTGGGGACAAATAAATAACCACTGATCTGGGACAAAGCCACCATGTATATACAAGCAAAAGTCATTTCAGCGAGTTTCAGGATGCACACCCAGAGCAGACTCAGTTATCCGACATTTAGGTACAACTCCAAGTTTTCCACATCCAGGCATGGAATTCACTTTTTTTTTTTTTTTTTTTGGAATTCACTTTTTTTTTATTTTTTCACTTTTTGTTTTTAACTGTGGTAAATATATATAACATATGTGTGAAATACACATAACATAAAGTAAACAAGTGGG